AGGAGAGTCCAAGAGCAGGTTTCATATGTAGTAAAATCAAAGCGACAATAAACACATGGAGAAGTTGTGGAAATATTTTGCTGATCACCATTTTCATGAAAATGTTCATGATGCAGCAAAATTAATATCAAGATGAGGTAGCAAATACAGTTCCGAGTTCTCTTGGACATGGAATGGCCACCTTTTATATTTTAGTTACACTACAAATTTCCCAAAAATAATCATAGAAAAAGACTTGGGAGTCAATAATTCAAGAGGTTCGTTGCTTGAACAAAATTAAATAATCAATACAATATTCATATACTTCTACTTCGAGAACGGTCTGAAATATAGTTACAATAATCTCTATCAAAGACAAACGACAAATGGGTTCTATTTTTCATTTTTTTTAAAGGTTAGCGTCGCCAAATCAGCATTTGCAAACCTTAGCAATCTTAAAAGGTCTAACAAGCAATTGATTATAAAACATTGAAAGAATCCAAAAAGCCTACATTAAGGAAATTGTGGACCACTAAATAAAGCCAGGATTTAATATGCAATAGAAAGTTGAAGTGATGAATACAATAAACGCACCATTATGCATAGCAATTGAAATTATGGAGCATCTTCACTTGTCCAAGTCCTTGATGCTGAAAATTTTATTTGCTGCCTATCTACCTGCTGTGGAGTACACGCTGTGTTCGGTTGAACAAGGTGTTGTTCGACCTAATTTTCTGTAACGCCCAGTATTTTATTATTTGGATAACCTTACCAATATTCATTAATTAAGTTCATTTACAAATAACATTTCATCCTTGGATGAAACAATGAATAGTTAAATATACATATTCCCTCTTGTTATACAACAATGACATTTACATACAAATAAAAGAAATGCCCCGAGGCTTACAATAAAAGAGAGGACACTACTCTTTACAAAAAATAGCACTCAGCCAAACAACAAATGAAGTTGTATAATCTATCACTACATTACACTTATGAAATGGTAAAAACCATTGTTTGATCTTCAAATCCGAAAAGCATTCCTTGTACACATGTACAGGCAGGGGGTGAGCAACCACTAGCTCACCAAACTATCTCATATTAAAACATTAGAAGATATGCGGGTACCAAAATACTCATACATATATGTGAAATCATATCATGTCAAAACCATATGATTTTATTACATAATCTCTAAATCCAATTTATTTAATTAACCACAACAAGTTAACTTAAATAAATTAACATGTTTCAATAGTAAGAGGACATCCTTTTCAATTCATTCAATTATCTCATTATCAATTGAATCAAATAATTAAACAATTCATCAAATCCATTTTATACAGTCTTATGAGATGAATGCATATGCCATGTCATGCTTAAAATATTTTTCTCATCTTTTGAAAATCTTACGCACAATGCCAATTTGAAAACACATTAATCACAATTTCAATAAAATTTCCAAGATGGTAAATACGACTTAGGTAATCCCTAGGTTGGTGTCTGCAAGTAGACTATACAAGTACTACCAATTTGTCATTTTTACCAATATTAACTGGAAGGCTCCACACATGTAATCTGTCATTTTTACCAGTATTAACTGGAAGGCTCGACACCTGTAATCTGTCATTTTTACCAGTATTAACTGGAAGGCTCGACACCTATCATCTACACTACCTTTCAAGACTTACCACTGTATTTACCCCAAAATCATTTCATGTAAACTTGTTTTCCAACATTCCTTTCTCAATGTAAAGCTTTCAAATCAAATTTCAAAACTCATCATTATCAAATGAATTGATATGCCAATGTAATGATTAATAATACAATGTAATATTTTTTCCACTTTCAATACTTCCACACAATATTCCCATTGTGATCAAAATTCTCATTTCTCAATTCAATATAATTTCTCAAGATAAATATAAATACTTTTATTCCAATTCATATATGGGACAACATAATTCTCACACTTAGAGTAATCTCAACCATTTAGTCACTTCAAGACTATATGAACATTTTGAACAACAATTTCCAAAATTTCAACAATTTTCATATTCCATGAAAACCATCAGTTATATGTAAACAAATAAACAAATTTTCAAACATCATTTGTTTTGGCACACAAAATAAATATAACAACATCTTCAAAGATTGTCAACATCTTTCTTAAAAACCCCCAATTTCTAGGTGTTCTCACAAAAATCACTTATCTTCATTTATTGAAAGAAAGTCACCAAAAACATCTCTCTTCAATCCTCATAGTTCAAAACCCTTAATTTCTATTTTAAAAGGAACAAGAAAGTAAATCCACTTTAAAAAAAATCAAACAATCAATTTTCAAAACAAATCAAAGGATGATTTCGAAAATCATCTAGATCTTGCAAAACCATATATATAACTCAAAGGAAATCCCTACTCATTAAATATTACCATCCTACTATGTCAAAAGTTATGGTATAATCTCAATAACACACTTTTAACCATAACGGATATAACCTTTTAACCAAAACTAATTTAATCCACTAAATTAGTAAGTTTATTATATTAAAAAAATTTCAAATTAATAATACCAAACCTAACTTCACATTCCTCATCCCTCAAACATAACTATATTTCAACATAACCATTTTTCATGCCAAGATATTTAAAGAGGTAATATTTTTACCAAATTCTCTACCAATAACAATTTCACAATTTTTTCTAAAATTACTTAACCAACATAATATTTACATCAAAAATTGTGAAATATGCCCAATAGTAACATTTTCAAGGTTATGAGTTTGAAAGTCCACATTTCACTTTTTTTTTTATTTTCATAAAAATGAACACAACTTAATCATCAACATATCATCTTTTATAAAATATCATGAATATAACACTTTTAGAGTTTTTAATCCCAAAGCAACTCTAAAATTCCTACTTAAGCATTTACTTCATATTCTTCAAAATTAATTTATTTTTCTCAAAAACAAATTCCAAATCAAAGATAAAAAAAATTCAACTTTCTATTTCTCAAAATAAATCATCTAATCATAATATGATGTAGAGACAATCAAAATTTCAAATTAATAATACCAAACCTAACTTCACATTCCTCATCCCTCAAACATAACTATATTTCAACATAACCATTTTTCATGCCAAGATATTTAAAGAGGTAATATTTTTACCAAATTCTCTACCAATAACAATTTCACAATTTTTTCTAAAATTACTTAACCAACATAATATTTACATCAAAAATTATGAAATATGCCCAATAGTAACATTTTCAAGGTTATGAGTTTGAAAGTCCACATTTCACTTTTTTTTTATTTTCATAAAAATGAACACAACTTAATCATCAACATATCATATTTTATAAAATATCATGAATATAACACTTTTAGAGTTTTTAATCCCAAAACAACTCTAAAATTCCTACTTAAGCATTTACTTCATATTCTTCAACATTAATTTATTTTTCTCAAAAACAAATTCCAAATCAAAGATAAAAAAAATTCAACTTTCTATTTCTCAAAATAAATCATCTAATCATAATATGATGTAGAGACAATCTATACAACTATTAAATTCTATTTTTCGGATTTCTTTACAAAATTATCAACACAAAATGCCAACATTCTTAACATTTCAACATAATTTTTCTTCCAAAAATTACCAAACAAAAATCTGAATATATATATATATATGCAATACCTCTTACAATGATATATTTTCTCAAAATAATCTTAACATAGCTTTAATGTAAATATATGAAGAAAGTCCTTACCTCAAATAATGAAGAAGAGCAGATCTGGAAGGCAAATTTTGCCCGATCATGAATCTGAGATTACAATTGCGAAGATCACGATGAGCTCTCCGACTTTCATGTACAACACTTTTGCAAAATCTCACTCTAAAGACTTCCACTTTAAGCTTAAAGCTTGAGCAACCATGGAAAATAAAAAAAAAGGGAGAGAGAGAGAGAGAGAGACGCACCCTCTGCCAACCCAACCAAAGAAAATGAAATGAAATGGAAAGGAAAGGGAGATGAAATGATGGCCACTACAAAAAGGGGGGACAACCCCATGTGGGTTTGGCTTTCCAAAAGAAAAAAATTCACTACAACAAAATGCACATTTGACGACTAAATTAGCGACTAAAAAAAATTTAGTCGCCAAAAGTTATGGAATTGGCGACTAAAAATTTTTGTAGTTGGCAAAAGTACAATATTTGGCTACTAATTTTTTTAGTAGGGGTATATTGGTTATTGGCGGCTAAAAAAAAATTTAGTCGCTAAAAATTGCCAGAATTGGCGACAAAAAAGAATTTTAGTCGCCGTATATTGAGTTTTGACTACTAAAACCATTTATTTTTTACCTTTGGCGATTAAAATTTCGGTCGCCAAAAGTTTATTTTTAGCGACAAAAAGAATTTTAGTCGCCGTATGTTGAGTTTTGGCTACTAAAATATTTAGTCACCGAATAGAAAATAAAAAATAATTTTTTTACCTTTGGCGACTAAAATTTTGGTCGCCAAAAGTTTATCTTCAGTGACAAAAGAATTTCAGTCGCTGTATATTGAGTTTTGGTGACTAACATTTTAGTCGCCGTTTGAGTTGATTTGGCTACTAAATCATTTAGTCGTTATTACTTACATTTTTGTCGACAAAATTTGAAATTAGTCGCCAAAGGAGTCAAATTTTAGTGTAAAAATAAATACCTATTGGCGCCCTCCCAGGTATTCTCCTCTGTTTAGGAATACAAAACACTATCTCTCTCTCTCTCTCTCACACACACACACACACAAACACACACACACGCACAGAAAAAATCAGTCACCACCAAATCTCACCTCACCTTACCACAGGCGCTTACCATCGAGAAGCATTCGACATCGCACATTGCCACCGCCACCGTCACAAATCGCCACCATTGCAAATCACCACTGCCACTGCTGCAATACTAGGTTATATCTCGCTCTTTCTCTTAGTCTCGCACTCTCTCTCGTTCTCGATCTCGAGCTTGCCGTATCCCCAAATCGTATAAAACTTGCCCTATCCCCTTTCACTCTTATTTCCCAAATCTCTCTCGATTTTGCTCTCTCTCTCTCTCTCTATCAATTTTGCTCTCGATATTCCTCTCTCGATTTTGCTCTGTTTCTCACTCTATAAATCGCCATGGTCGTCTGAATAAGAGACCTCCAACGGTACAAACTCCCTCAAATTCTTTATCTGGTAATCTTTTTGTTCTCTTCCTTTCTCTCTCGGATCTCCTCTCTCCTTGTTTCTTCTTATTTTATGATATGAATCTACTTCTAGGGTTTGGATCGAAACATTAAAGGTCTTTGGATGACCAGTTATGTTTTTATGAAATTTAATTTATTTCATTTTTTTTGTTGCATTTTATAGGTCTTTGGATTCATGAAATGGGATGCTCATTGTTGGTGAGCATGGCTTCCCTCATTTGCTTGATAATTTTGCCTATAATATTTTAGTAAGCTGTTTAGCTGTACACTGACGTATTTTCTGGACTTTAGTAGTTGTTTTTGTTGAATTGATTCTTGTTTTCTATGTTAATTTCCTCTTGATTTTGTTGTTTGGTGAGGCACATTGACTTCCTCATCAAAACAAAATATATAAAGGTAGTCAAGTTGGACTCTTTTTAGAGTTGAACAATAATAAACCTCTTTCATTTTGATTTTTTAAAATTATTTATTTATTTTTGTTTTGTTTTGTTTTTATTTTTGGTGAAATGTTTTTTAAAGTAATTTCTTAAAACAACCCAACTTTTTAGGAAACACTAAAAAGTTGTTTTCGCACAAAAACAAAATGATGGTGTTTTCAAATTTTAGTGTTTTTATTTCTAAAAATACGAAGAAAAAAGGAAAACAAAAATACAACCAAACATCAAGAATATTTTCTTCTCACTACCATGCAATTTTTTATGAGCAATATTGAGGGCAATGGCTCATCTTGGATGTAGGTAGCTGAAGTTTCTGAGGCCATTCCTTCAAATGGTTGTATACATGAAGAAGTGAAAACTACGAATGAAAATTTGAGAAGGTACGACTCATTGGGATATAACTTCATTTTCTTTGAGCCAAAATTGATCTAATTTTGCTCTTCATCCCAATCAATTTTTTGATTTTCTGATTTGTTTTCTTTATTTTTGCAGAGATCAAGACAACCTTGTCGAATTATTAAATGAAATGGCTTTACTGAAGGAGAGGAACAAATCAATAGAAGGTGAACTAAAAGAAATTCAAGAGAGATATTCAGAGATAAGTCTCAAGAAAAAGGGTTTTGCATTATTAAATATAGAAAAAGGGTTTTGCATTATTATGAAGTATTATAATGTTTGAAACTTCTTACTGCAAGAAAAAGAAAGATTAAATCTCTATTGGTTCAACTATTTGATTTTCTTTGATTTTATTACTTAACTAGAGGATACCAAGGTAGCTGAATGGGAGATACCAAGGGGCTCTTGTTGCTAGGTCTTGAACTGTGTTTGGTAACAGGTTACTGTGAAATTTAAATCTAGAGAAGAAATCAATTTCATTATTGCTTTGTTTGGTTGCTGAGAATAGATGGGAAAAGAACCTATTTAAGTTTGGAGTGCATTAATAGAACGCCCATCAGTTATTTTTTTATTTTCTGGGAAATACTTGTTGTTTCAAGTAAAAAGCAATGTTGAAAACAATCAAAGTCCTCCAAAAATTAAAAAGATATTAAAGCATTTATGGTAATAAAAAAAAATGTTACTCTGATAATAACAATCATATAATTGAAAATCTTTCATGATACTTGGCATTGTTGTGAGGTGTTTTATATTTTTAGTGTACACTGAAATATACTGTAATTGCAAGCACTCAGCTTCTCTCCCATGTCGTGACTATAGTCTAAGTTAGAGAGGAGCCAGACCCTTTTGCCAAACACTCGACTTCTCTCTAGTCGACTGGAGTCCAATTATGAGAGGAATAAGACCATTTTTCCAAAACCCGAAAGCATGTAACATAACATCAAAGCTGTTAGAGGTGCACCCATGTCTTTTTCTATTCTGGAATCTAATTGTTAGCATCTATCAGAACATCATTTTTTTTGGGTTTGGGATATAGCGATCCTGGGTTTTCCCCTTTATGTACAGTATTCTGGACTTGGGTTCCCTGGTTGAGTATTGTTGTTTATGTCTCTTTCCATCCTTTAAATTCTTTGTATTTGACTTTTATGATGTGTTGGGCAGGTTTGAAACAGGTTGGTTGTGATTGGAAGCAAATGGTTGCTGTCCAGTTTTTGGTCTCTTCGCTCGAGCCAGGACTTTTTCGCTCGAGCGAGCCTTGTGTCTTTGCTTCTTCGCTCGAGCAAGGGTTTGTACGCTCGAGCGAGTATTGTGGGTCTTCAGGTTTTCTTTTCAGACGCAGCCTTGGCTCGAGCGAGATTGGTCTGGTGTGTCTCTTCGCTCGAGCGTGCGTGTGTCTGCGTCTAGTTTTGGACCTGAAGGTTGTTTCTCTTGGCTCGAGCGAGCTTTCCTTCGTTTGAGCAAGCGAGCGAGCTGTATGTTTTGGGTTTCTTCGCTCGAGTGAGCGTTTTTTCGCTCGAGCGTGCTTCTGGGTTGTAGACTTGAAGCTTCGAATTGTTCGCTCGAGCGAGGCTTTCTGCGCTCGAGCAAGGTTTCTTTGTGTCTAGTCGCTCGAGCGACCACTCCTTCGCTCGAGCGAGATTCGAATATATCAGTTGGTAGCAGCGGGTTACACTTCCGAGCGAGCTTTCCTTCGCTTGAGCGAGCGAGCGAGCTGTATGTTTTGGGTTTCTTTGCTGGAGTGAGCGTTTCTTCGCTCGAGCGTGCTTCTGGGTTGTAGACCTGAAGCTTCGAATTGTTCGCTCGAGCGAGGCTTTCTGCACTCGAGTGAGGTTTCTTTGTGTCTGGTCGCTCGAGTGACCATTTCTTCGCTCGAGCGAGCCTCGAATATATCAGTTTGCAGCAGCGGGTTTTTACACACTTTTTCATCCTCTCTTTTACACAAACCCGAGATCAGCTGCTCCCTCTCTCTCTATATACATTCTCTCTAAGATTTCATCTACTTCTAGAGTGTTTCCACCCAAATCTCTTTGTAAGGAAGATAGAGAGTGGCGTGGGCTTCACTTTAATCTGAAAAACCATGGATTTGGAGCACTTTGAGTTTTCGTCATCTTCTTCTTTGAGTCTCTCCATTTGAGGTAGGGATAACCTACTCCTCTCTATGAGTGTTGACATAAATGTTGGGTATTTTGGATAGATGGTGTTGTTTGGTAATTTTGGGAAAGTAAGGGTTTGTATTGAAATTATATAAAAAGGGGTTTTGTGTTTTAAAAACTCCATGTGCATGTGAGACCTTGGAAAATGGAACTACTATTGCTGAATTGATGAAAATGAGCCTTGGGGCCAAGGTTTGGGAAAAAATGGGAAAAGCCCTAAATTAATGTGATTAATTAATTTGGAAAAGATATGAGAATGTGAAATTGAGTTGAAAATCATGAAATTGGAAAATTGTGGGATTGAACGGTGTAGTTGGATTAGTTAATCATTCACCTATGGAAATGTTGATATTTTATCTGTTTGATAAATTTATTACCTGTTTAGAGATAACTGCTTTGGGCTATCGGTGGAGGATAGTCTTGATTGTTGTAGACACTGTATGTTGATTAGGAAAAATTGAAACTAATCACCTTGAATATGTCATTGAATATGACGGTTGGAATAATACATCGAATTTGTGCATTGATTGATCATTGTATATGATAAGTGTTTAAATACATTTTATATGTATATTGTTTGGGAGGAGATAGGGGATGTACTCCATGGTTTGAGGGGAGATAGGGGATGGACTCTCAAACCTATTTGGGAGGAGATAGGGGATGGACTCCATTGATAACTAAGTTGGCCGGAGTGTCCAGGGTGAAAGTCCCGAAATCTTAATTACGTTTGTATAACGTAGATGATTGAAGTATTGAAATGTTTATATATGAGTTGTAGTCTCATTTGAATTAAGGATGATGGAAGTGTTTTAATATGAGTTGTAGTCTCATTTATTAGTTTGGTTAGACAATGAGCCATGTTTATGATTTTAAATTGGTTGAGTAAAGAAAAGTGGAATGAAACCCGAATGTATTTGAAAACAGCCCCCGAACCACCGTGTGGCTCACACAGACAGTTCCCCCATGACAAATAGGACTTGTGAGAACTAATGGAACATAATTCGAACCCGTAGGTAGAGAGTTAGAGCCGAATACACCTTAAACTTACTTGAAAAAGAGCTTTTTGGGGGCAAAAATTCAAAACAACCTCTGAACGACCATTTGACTCACACAGATAGCTTCCCCATGACAAATAGGACTAGTGGGAATTAACGGAATGTAATTCGGACCCGTAAGTTGGGAGTTAGAGCCGAATACGCCCTAAACTTAGTCAAAAAAGGGCGTTTCGGGGGTGAAAATTCTAAACAACCCCCGAACTACCGTGTGACTCACACCCGAACTACCATGTGACTCATACAGACAGTTCCCCCATGACAAATAGGACTTGTGACAACTGACGGAACGTAATCCGAACCCGTAGGTTGGGAGTTAGAGCTGAATACGCCCTAAACTTAGTCGAAAAAGGGCGTTTCGGGGGCGAAAATTAAAAACAGCTCCCGAACGACTGTGTGGCTCACATGGATAGCTTCGCCATGACAAATAAGACTTGTGAGAACTGATGGAACGTAATTCAGACCCGTAAGTTGGGAGTTAGAGCCGAATACGCCCTAAACTTACTCGAAAAAGAGCTTTCCAGGAGCGAAAATTCATAACAGTCCCCGAATACGCCTTACACTTAGTCGAAAAACTCGCAACACTTAGTTTAAAAAGTGACAACTTTATGAAAATAACATCTACATATTCTAATAATTGCCTTGATATATTTATAGGACGAAGAAATTACATATTGCATTGTTTCTGTATTTGGTTGGAATAAATATTGCATGATACATATATATATATATATATATCCTTTCTTTTATTTCTAAGAAGACATTTTTCGATTGTTCTACCTTAAATGCATGTTAGAACATGTTCCATATGGTTGACTAAATTGATATTTTGTAACCAATTCTAATGTTTCGTTTTTTTCTTCTTTGTAGATGGCTTTGTTTCATGGACTTGTAGATAATCCATATTGGTGTATGGAGAAGAATTTTTACTTTTGTGTAGAATTAATATAATACTTTTGTCGTCCTCAGCTTTTGTGTAGTTCATTATTACTGATACAAAAAACTTTTCTCAATCAACAGATAATGACTATCGTGGTACATAGATCACCTTCTGTCGTGGTACATATATACCATTTGTCGACGTACATATAGGACGTTTTGTCATAGTCTATAGAAAACTTTTGTCGTGGTACATATATCACCTTTTGTCGTCATATAGATTATGATGGTAATTTGTACCATGCCAAATGGTAATTTCATTTGATAGTAAATGTATTTTTTGTATACGGAGGGCTTTGATTTTTGTATATATATTTTGTATGGAATTATTATTTTAGTTTGGATAATAGTTGATTTGTATGGACTTTGACATTTAAAATTATTTATTTATGGTATATGGATGCAAATTGTGGAATGATTGATAGTACGTGTCATTTTGTTTATATACGTATTACAGGTTGCATTGAATATAGACAGGTTGTGGAGAAATTATAATTTTGCGATAAAACATTTTTGGCGACTAAACAATTTGCAGCTAAAAAGAAATTGGGAAAAGACATTTGGCGACTAAAAGTTTTGTAGCAAAAAAAACTAGGGATTAGTCGGACTTTGATCCAAACACTTCAGACAAAAAATTTTTTGTAAAAAAAAAAAAAAAAAAAAAAAAGGCATTTGGCGACTAAAAGTTTAGTAGCCAAAAGAAAATCAAACATTTGGCGACTAAAATATTTTGTAGCTAAAAACAAAAAACTAAAGGATAAAAACACTTTTGCCGACTAAAATTTTAGTAGCCAAAAATGTAGAACTTTAGGCGACCAAATATTTAGCGTTTGGTAACATTTATGTTTTTGGTTTATGTTTACAAAAATTTTATAAACTGGTTTTTGTTTATTTTTAGGAAAACATAAATTATAAATGCGTTTGGTTTGATTTGAACAATATGTTTAAAAAATTTAAAAACATAAACTAAAAAATATGTTTGTTCAGGCCTAAAATATTTATATTTATTTTTATTATTTATGACAATAGGATCACACACATTATAATTGAAAAAAAATTAATTAAAAAAATAATGGAAAAAAAATTTAATTGAAAAAAATGAAAAAAAATTTAATTGGGAAAAAAAATATTTGAAAAAAAAGATTAATTGAAAACAAATTTAATTGAAAAAAATATTTGAAAAAAAATTAATTGAAAAAAAAAATTGAAAATAAATTATTTGAAAAAAAAAA